CCAACTTCCCTTTGTCTCTTCACATGGCAGAAAGACAGCCAGCTAGTTCTCTAGCTTCTTTTTGGTTGGTTGTTTGTTTTATTTATTTTTTTCTATTTTTGCTCTAAGTTCCCAGACACATGTACAGAATGCGCAGGTTTGTTACATGGGTATACATGTGCCATGGTGGTTTGCTGCACCTATCAACCTGTCATCTAGGTTTTAAATCCTGCATGCATTAGGTATTTGTCCTAACGTTCTCCCTCCCTTTGCCCCCCACTCCCCAATAGGCCGTGGTGTGTGACGTTCCCCTCCCTGTGTCCATGTGTTCTCATTGTTCAACTCCCACTTATGAGTGAAAATACTGTCTTCTTCTTATAAGGTCACTATTCCCATCATAAGGGCTCCACCCTCATAACCTAATTACCTGCCAAAGACCACACCTCCTGCTAATACCATCACATTGGGATTGGATTTCAACATATGGATTTTGGGAGGATGAAAACATTCAATTCACTGCATTCCAACCTGGCTCCCCCAAATTTTTGTCCTTTCTAAAGGCAAACTAATTCATTCCATACAAACCAACCCCCAAATTCTTAACTCAACTCCAAAGTCTCATCTAAATGTCATCTAAATCAGATATGGATGAGATTCAAGGTACAATTCATCCTTAGACAAAATTCCTCTCTATTTATAAACTTGTGAAACCCAACAAGTTATGTCTTTCCAAAATACAATGGTGAGATGGCCATATGATAGACATTCCCTTCCAAAATGAAGAAATAGGAAAGAAAGAAGGGGTGACCAGTTGCAACCAAGTCTGAAACCTAGCAAGGCAAACTCCACGAGATCTTAAGTCTTGAGAATAATCCTTTTTGGCTTAATTCTCTGCCCTCTAGACCCAATGAGATGGAGGTCTCGTCTGCTGAACATGCTGGGGCAGAGGTCCCAACTTCTGGACCCACTGGGTGGCCATATTGCCCTTGCAACTCTGCTGGGCAGAGATCAGGCCCCTAAGGCTCTGGGTATCCCATACATCATGGCTATGGGTGGGGATTGTTTGACCTTTTGAAACTCAGGCAGTGGCACTAATGATCTCTGAATCACCTTTAGGATCCTTCTTCCCTTGTCTTCAGGAATAAAGCACATTTTGAAGCAAATAACTCTTTGGTCCTGTCCAATACGATCTAAGAAGCCAGCCAGCCTTCCTTCCTTCCTTCCTTCCTTCCTTCCTTCCTTCCTTCCTTCCTTCCTTCCCTCCCTCCCTCCCTCCCCCACTTCTCCCCTCCCTCCCTCCCTCCCTCCCTCCCTCCCTCCCTTCCTTCCTTCCTTCCTTCCTTCCTTCCTTCCTTCCTTCCTTCCTTCCTTCCTTCCTTCCTTCCTTCCTTCTCCATTCCATTCAGTTCAAAATGTCCGTTTTTTCTATTGGGGTAGCTGATTATGTTTGTGGTTGACATCCATGCTAATCTCCTTATCAAAGATTCCTTGGTCAAACAAACTTTTACTTTTTTTTTTTTTTTTTTGCAATATGGACATACTGAGAAATTTCCAAATCTTTAAGTTCTAGTTCCTTTTTGCATAATTCCATCTTGAAGTCATTTCTCTCCTCTTGAATTTTACTATAAGCAGTGAGAAGGAACCAAGCTGCTCATTCAACAGTTTGTGTAGAAATGTGCTCAGCTAAATAAATATCCAATTTCATCACAAGTTCCGCCTTTCACAAAACACCAAAACATGAACATGACTCAGCTAAGTTCTTTGCAACTTCATAACAAGGATCATCTTGTCTTCATTGTCCAGTAACATGTTCCTCATTTCCATCTGAAATTTCATCAGAATGGCCTTTATTCATATGTCTACCAGCATTCTATACAGGATCCTTCCTTCCTTCCTTCCTTCCTCCCTTCCTTCCTTTTAGACAGAGTCTCGCTTTGTTGCCAGGCTGGAGTGTAATGGCATGATCTCGGCTCACTGCAACCTCCACCTCCCGGGTTCAAGCAATTCTGCTGCCTCAGCCTCCTGAGTAGCTGGGATTAAAGGTGCCTGCCACTATGCTCAGCTAATTTCTGTAATTTTTTTTTTTTTTTTAAGTAGAGACGGGGTTTCACCATGTTGACCAGGATGGTCTCGATCTCCTGACCTTGTGATCTGCCCGCCTCGGCCTCCCAAAATGCTGGGATTACAGGCATCAGTCACCGCACCCAGCCCAGGATTATGTATTTGCTCTCTAAGGAGATGGAAGTTTTGTCTACAGTGTTCCTCTTTCTGAGCTCTCACCAGAATCACCTTTAAAAGTCCCTTCACCACTAGCTTCTTCCAAAATGCACTTCAAAACTCCTCCAGTTTCTAGTATCTATTTCCAAAGCCACTTTCACATTTTTACGTATTTATTGTATCAGAATCCACCTGTTAGTACCAACTTCTGTCTTAGTTCAGGCTGCTGCAACAAAGTACCACAGATGGAGTGGCCTTAAAAATCAAACACACACGCTGGCACCGTGATCTTAGACTTCCAGTCTCCAGGACTATTTTTCACAGTCCTGGAGGCTGGAAGTCTAAGATCATGCTGCCAGCATGGTTGGATCCTGGTGAAGCCTTCTTCCAGGTTGCAGAAAGCCAACTGGCCATTGGATCATCACATGTGGGAAAGAGAACTAGCTATCTCTCTAGACTCTTCTTATAAGGACACTAATCACATCACGAGGACTCTACCTTCCCAAAACTACCTCCCAAAGGCACCATCTCCTAATATCATCACATTGGGATTAGAGTTTCCACATATGAATCTTGGGAGGACACAACATTTCATCCATCGCACTGAGGCAAACCTGAACTGCCCACCCAATATACAACCCTAAAACCTCATGGCTTGCCTGCCTCCACACTCTCTTTCCCTTTCAATAGCCTATCCATCACCTGGTCCTGGCGAACTCACTTCAGAAATGTTTCCCAGATAGGTCCAGACCTAAAGAGCCAACTCTTTCTCTCATCACCTTCATCTACCTTATGCTTTCTTTGTGTTTTCTCATCCCTATGCCTTTGGCCTCTGCCTTTAGTAAAATGTCTACCTCTAATCCCATGTTTGCTTCTTATTCATCTTGTCAAATGCAGCTGAACTGTCCTCTCCTCTTGGAAGCGTCACCTGACTCTCTAAGACATAGGCGTGCTTTCCTTCCTCTGTACTTTCAAAGCTATTTGCCATACCCTTTCCGAAATGCACCACAGTGTATCAAAATATTTCAAATTTACCTGTTAAGGCTAAGTCATTCTTATCTATATATTGCCAGCACCTGGCATAAGGCTGATGTACTCAAGTACAGTCAACCCTCCCTATATGTGAGTTTCATATCTGTGGATTCAACCAGCCACAGATAAAATATATTCAGAAAAAAGAACAATAAAAAACTGTATAACAATACAAAATACAAATAAAAATATGTCAAGAACCCCATAAATATATACAACTACTATGTACAGATAAAAATTTAACAAAAAAACCCCCAAAACTATAAGGAAAACAATACAGTATAACAACTATGTCCATAGCATTTACATTGTATAAGGTATTATAAGTAATCTAGAGCTGATTTAAAGTATGCCAGAAGATATGTGTACGTCATATGTAAATACCACGCCATCTTATATAGGGCATTATGTCATCTTCAGATTATGGTATCCACGTTGTGGAGGGGGTTTTAGAACCAATCCTTCATAAACACCAACTGATGACTGTACTTAGTCACTATCTGTTGAATAAATGAACATAAGAATGGATCCTCAAAACCAGGATTTGCCTATTCATGAAACCAAAAAGTTGTGCTTCCTTTACCTAATCTGTAGAACGATAGCTAGGCCCACTTTTTTATGTCAAACTATTAATTGACTGTTTTATTTGGAAAGTTCTTTCTTCTACCATTGGCTGTGCTATTGCATTTGAACTGATCACAGAAGACTTAGCTACTGCTTTGTATTAAACTGCAATCAAAGGAAGAAGTAATAACTCCTAGACTGCTGTCCTGGAAGGTTCCCTCAGTGGCCTGAATGGTAGTATCTTAACGTCTGAAGCAACACTTTAATTTCTGTACAAAGCAAGATATTTACGTACATTCCAGCTGGTTTTGTCACCCTAATGATCATCATTGGAAAAACTCCAGGAGCATTCGGCTAGAAAAGTAAAATGTAATTTTAAAAGGTTCATTTGTTAGTCATCTACCTTTCTCAACTTACCCCCAGGATATATTTAAAATCCACGAATTTTGACAGAAAAGACATTAGCTTTGATCTGTGGTCTTCATATCAAAATTTTAACCATAGTTAACATGTTTGCCCATTAAAATTTAATTCACCCCAGCTTCTTCATTCCCTTCTAAATTCCTAAAATTTATGCAATTTTACCCAAGAGCAAAGATGACTTAACTGTATTCGAAGAAAATAATTTTAGTGGCCAAAAAGCTGAGTAGTGTTGCTAGCTTCTCACAATAATACTATCTTTCTCCCTTATGATCAATCTGCTCTATAGGAGGGCTGAGATACATACCTGCATTGCTCATGCATGGCAGAATGTCTACCATAGACTGGGCACTCTGTAAGTTGTAGCTGACACCAACAATAACAACAATACATTTAATAAACATGCATTGATACCAACTATATTTTCTGTACTTTTTTATATTAAATCTTGACATCTCTTCAAGTTATTAACCCTGTTCTTCAGATTAGAAAACTAAGGTTTAGAGAGTTTCAATGTCTTGCCCCAAATTACACAGCTAGATAGTGGGTGGCAGAGCCAAGAAATAAAACCCATGTCTCCTTGTCTCCAAAGCCGAGATACTTTTTTCTCCCTAGAGCATGTGACCAAAGTGATCTCATTTCTATTTTGCACGTGAGTAATCTGAGTCCTAGAGAGGTTAAAGTAACTTATCCAAGGCCATATCACCAAGAATTATTGGAGTAGCTTTTAACCAATTTCTGCCATAATCCTAAATTTATACTCTTTCTCTTATACTACTTTGTTTCAGTGAACAAATGGATCTTGGATGGCCTGAGACTGATCCCACAGGATGTCAAGAGAATCTGGAGACGGATGGGGCATGATGGGTGAGGAGTGATATTTTAAAAGGCAGGAATGGAAGGCAGCCATAATTCTCTCTTCATATTCCTAGTGGTCCAATTTGGCCCTGTACATCCTGGTTTCCTGTATTTCAGAGCACAGTTGGGGATGTCAAGTCATGTTCCCCCAGAATACATGTCCCTGCCCTAACTCCTGTAACCTGCGAATGTTACCATGTTTGGAAAAGGGGTCTTTGTAGATGTAATTAAGAACATTGAGATGGGATTATCTTGGATTTTCTGATAGGCTCTAAATTCAATGACAGCAGTTTCTTTATAAAAGGCAGGCATAGGAATATTTAAGACAGAAGAAGAGAAGACACATAAGAAGAGGAAGTGATGCGAAGACAGGCAGAGACTGAAGCGCTACAGCCACAAGCCAAGGAACATCAATGCCTGGAACCACTATAAGCTACAAGAAGCTTGAAACGAATTCTTCTCTAGACCTTCTAGAGAGAGTGCAGCCCTGGTGAAAACTTGATTTTAAATTTCTTGCCTCCAGAAACTCAAGAGAATAAAACTTTATTAATTGAAGCCACCAGATTTGTGGTAATTTGTTACGGCAATCACAGGAAACTACCACAGGCTCTAAGCATGGTTTAAGGTACTTTCATTTCTAGATACACAAGAGGATAGTTCTATTTACCTCTAGGGCTGAGCACTTTCATTCTGACAAATCCCCAGCCATGGAATCCAGGATGGTCAGCATTCAGGGTGCAAGCCAAACTTCTTGAACTGCAAGGCATAGGGAATCAATGGGTGGCAGTCAGGGCCTAGTAAATGCCCTGTGATTGGAAACATCTCTTGGTCTAATATGTTTGTCAGTAAATTCTTGATAACTGTGAACGTAAAAATTCTAACCGAGGAGGAATCAATACCATACAACATGTATTAACCTATACATGTGAGGACTTCAGCTAGGCTTCAATTAGGTCAATTTGTCCTGCCTTTAAACTTCATCTGAAGATTCATGATGTAGTGAAGTCCACATGGGCTTTGTTCTAAAAACCTGGGTTTGAATTCTGGTCCTGTCCAAAGTCACAGTTATTTTGAGCTGATATGACTAGAAGCTTCTCATTTTCCTTGTATGTAAAATTGGGATAGTGACAATAACTAACTCATTGAGATGCTGTCAGGATTAAATTCAATATTGCAATTTTACATGCAATATCATTGACACAAAATAAGTGCTCACTAAATGGTAGTTGTTGCTCCATTCAGGAATGAGACCTCAGGCTGCAGCTCTATCAATGCCATCCTCTCCTCCAGCTGGTTTGGGAGTAAGGGGCAGGGACTATACTCCCATTCCCATTGCTCTAACTTAAGTGGAAGATGGCTCAGAACAACAGCTTCCCCTCCATCCAGGATCAAATTCTCAAGGTGGGGAAATGGTGAAATTCAGTGTATTTTATATCTCTGAAAAGAGGTGATGGCTTCTCACCTTATCTGCTAATTGTTTCTCAGATCTTACAGTAAAATTGTTTGGGTGAGTAATGTGATTGTCCCCAACCAGTTTTTTTTGCAACTCAGGATAAGATGTAGTCACATTTATGAAATGAATGATTCATAAGGATTAAAGTTTTTAAATGAAGCCAGCAAAACTATACAAGCTGCCATCACAGCTAATAGGCTAGACTCGAGAATGTCAAGATGTTCAGGGAAGGCATGCACTTGAGTAGCTATGGAGATTGGATGATCCCAGTGACATGAGTAATTTCTATGAAGTCACACTTCATTTACATTGTGACATTTATATTGTGACATCATATGACTCAACTCATCTGTTACACTCAGTTAACAGGCCTTACCTCCAGTCTGATCTCTCATGTCCTTTTAGAGGTATTACAAGGAAGATCTGCCAACCTAATGGATGGTCTTTTTAAAATTCTGACAACAGAGAAAATACCTGTAACTTCTTATTTATTCGCAGGGAACATCAAAGGTAAGGAAACTGACCTATTGTCCCAAAGGTAATAATAATTTGTTTTGAAATATTCTCTAGGGAAAGAAGAGGTCAGGATGGAGTGAGCAAAATTTGGTGTGCTTTTAACAGTCTGTATCACTGTTACCAAGTCACAGGTTAACTCTCTCTTCAGAATGTCAGTCATTTAAGAGAGAAAAAAACAGAATCATAAATAACTCTAGCCAGAAATAGTACAATGCCTGTGTTTATCCTTAACTGAAGAGGTATTTTGACATTTTGTGCTATGCCTGACATCTTAGAGTTTCTCCATGAAAGTATGCAAGAAGTTAAACTCAGACAATCCAAGCGAGGTTTTATTCATTCTTTAGGGAGTTCTCTTTATAACTACGAACTCAGAGTGTAGGAGGGGTCAAGTTATTCCCTCAAGAAGCTAAACTGTAGGTGGAATGGAGCCAAATTAATTAACTCCTACATAGGTTGAAGTTATTTATAAACCTGAGAAATAAGCACAGCCTGGATTCCCAAGTGCTTCTAGCTAACACTCTTAACTCTTTATTGACCAGCTCAAAGTACCCCGAGTCTAGCTTCTATACAGGAGAAATTTTAGTTTAACCAGGTCAGTTCTACTAGCCTTACTCATTCTTTACACTATATAATTTGGCAAAAAGTCCTACAATAAACACAATGACACAAAACAGTGCTAAAATACACAATTATTTTAGGATACTTTGTACTATAAGTTATTCCTGTAAGTGACAGAGTTACTCTGAATCATCAAGATCAATCCAAATTGAATGGCTGTCATGATTGCTTGGCAAATAACACATAGATAGCAGGTCTGGGACAGGTGAGTTCAGGAACACACAGCCTATGTTGGAAAGACAATGGTGTTGAAAATGGTTCCTTTCATAGAACCACATGGCCAACATAGATGTCTCATTCAAGTTGAGTTCATGCTAAAAGAAATGTAGGACTGCACTGACCCATAAGTAATAAATATAATTATATGATTTATTGTCCAAATCAGGAGACTTTTGAAGATACAATGAAGAACTATGAAAAATTATACTAAGACCCAGCTATAAAGCAAGGGGAAGGGACTGCTAATATTATACCTCACTAGCAACAGAGAGCTAACACCTTGCATGATGCCTGGCTTATAGTAAAGTCCAATAAAAGTTTATTGAATGAATAAAGGAATAAATTAAAGTTGAATCACTTTACTTCTCCAGTGTCTTTCAAGCACTAATAACTGAGGTTGGTGAAGTGAACCATTATTAAGGACTTGGTGGTGGCAGTGGTCTTGATTTACTTGTGTTATAATAAAGGGAGAGAATGGTGTTCTAACCATCAAATCCAATGGCTTTGTTTCAGGTGACATTCTTCTTGAATTTTTTTTTAAGTAAGTTTTGTATCTTTCTTTCTTTTTTTTTAATTTTACTTTAAGTTCTGGGATACATGTGCTGAACATGCAGGCTTGTTACATAGGTATACATGTGCCATGGTGGTTTGCTGCACCTATCAATCCGTCATCTAGGTTTTAAGACCCACATACATTAGGTATTTGTCCCAATGGTCTCCCTCCCCTTGTCCCCCACCCCCTGACAGGCCTGGAGTGTGATCTTCCCCTCCCTGTGTCCACGTGTTCTTATTGTTCAACTCCCACTTATGAGTGAGAACATGCGGTATTTGGTTTTCTATTCCAGTGTTAGTTTGCTGAGAATGATGGTTTCCAGCTTCATCCATGTCCCTACAAAGCACATGAACTCATTCTTTTGTTATGGCTGCATAGGATTCCACGGTGTATATGTGCCACATTTTCTTTATCCAGTCTGTCATTGATGGGCATTTGGGCTGGTTCTAAGTCTTTGCTATTGTGAATAGTGCTGCAATAAACATACGTGTGCGTGTGTCTTTATAGTAGAATGATTTGTAATCCTTTGGGTATATATCCAGTAATAGGATTTCTGGGTCAAATGGTCTTTCTAGTTCTAGATCCTTGAGGAAAAGCCACACTGTCTTCCACAATGGCTGAACTAATGTACACTCCCACCAACAGTGTATTTCTCTGCATCCTCACCAGGATCTGTTGTTTCCTGACTTTTTAATGAGTCCGTCATTCTAACTGGTATGAGATGGTATCTCAATTGTGGTTTTGTTTTGCATTTCTCTAATGACCAGTGATGATGAGCTTTTTTTCATATGTTTGTTGGCTGCATAAATGTCTTCTTTTGAGAATTGTCTGTTCATATACTTTACCCACTTTTTGATGGGGTTGTTTTTTTCTTGTAAATTTGTTTAAGTTCCTTGTAGATTCTGAATATTAGACCTTTGTCAGATGGATAGATTTCAAAAATATTCTCCCATTCTGTAGGTTGCCTGTTCACTCTGATGATAGTTTCTTTTGCTGTGCAGAAGCTGTTTAGTTGAATTAGGTCCCATCTGTCAATTTTGGCTTTTGTTGCAATTGCTTTTGGTGTTTTAGTCATGAAGTTTTTGCCCATGCCTGTGTCCTGAATGGTATTGCCTAGGTTTACTTCTAGGGTTTTTATGGTATTATGTCTTATGTTTATGTCTTTAACCCATCTTGAACCAATTTTTGTATAAGGTGTAAGAAAGGAATCCACTTTCTGTTTGCTGCATATGGCTAGCCAGTTTTCCCAGCACCATTTATTAAATAGGGAATCCTTTCCCTATTGTTTTTTTTTTTTTTTTTGGTAAAGTTTATTGAAGACCAGATGATTGTAGATGTGTGGTGTTTTTTCTGAAGCCTCTATTCTGTTCCATTGGTCTATATATCTATTTTGGTACCAGAACCATGCTGATTTGGTTACTGTAGCCTTGTAGTATAGTTTGAAGTCATGTAGCATGATGGCTCCAGCTTTGTTCTTTCTGCTTAGGATTGTCTTGACTATACGGGTTCTTTTTAGGTTCCATATGAAATTTAAAGTAGTTTTTTTTTTTTTTTTCTAATTCTGTGAAGAAAGTCAGTGGTAGCTGGATGGAATAGCATTGAATCTATAAATTACTTTGGTCAGCATGGCCATTTTCATGATATTGATTCTTCCTATCCATGAGCATGGATTTTTTTTTCCCATTTGTTTGTGTCCTCTCTTATTTCCTTGAGCAGTGGTTTGTCATTCTCTTTGAAGAGGTCCTTCACGTCCCTTGTAAGTTTTATTCCTAGGTATTTTATTCTCTTTGCAACAATTGTGAATGGGAGTTCATTCATGATTTGGCTCTCTACTTGTCTATTATTGGTGTATAGGAATGCTTGTGATTTTTGCACATTGATTTTGTATCCTGAGACTTTGCTGAAGTTGTTTATCAGTTTAAGGAGTTTTGGGGCTGAGATGACGGGGTTTTCTAAGGATACAATCATGTCATCTGCAAACAGAGACAATTTGACTTCCTGTCTTCCAATCTGAATA